GATCCTGCAAGTCGCCTCCAGCACCTGCAGCACCAAGCCCAGCGCGATCAAGCCGTCGTCGCTCAGGTGGCCGAAGGACTGGGGCTTGATGCAGTCCACCCCCGTCGCCGTCGACGCTTTGAACGACGCCGCCGCCCGCCTGATGGCCTCAGGGGTGGGCGCCACCCCTGCCTCCTCGAGCAGCTCGGAGGGAAGGGCGTCGTCCAAGTCGAGCGGCATCACCTCCTTGTGCCTCCACACCTCCTTGTACTCGTCCCTCAGCGCGTCCAGCGTCGCCGAGATGCCTGCTGGCCCCCCTTCGCCATCGAGGTCTGGGGCCCAGGCCAGCGGCGCCTTGCAGTAGCGGTGGGCGGCGCCCGCACCGTCCTGCACCGCCTCCTGCGCCCACTGGCGCCACTGCTGGCACCGCTTCTTGCCACAGCGGTCCTCCAGCTTCGCCGCCAAGTCCCTGGCCTCTTGCTCCAGCTTCTCCAACTCGCAGAAGGTGAGGTGGCTGAGCGTGTGCAGCTGGCGCTTCCACCTGCGGACCTCCCCCTCCGTGAGCAAGTCGCCGCCAAGGTCATCCGATGCCAGGGCACCCGCCTTGGCCGCGAGCCCCTTCAACTGAGCCAGGGCCGCTGGGATCGCCGTCTCCACGTGCAAGCGCCTGCGAGCTGCCATCATCTCCCACATGACGGCCCCGATGCGGCGCCATCGAGCCGAGACTGGGCAGCCCTTGGGGTGTGGTCCCCCACCTGGCAGCAGCACGTCCCTCTCCACGAACTTCGGGTCCGCCGCGCGCCCGACGTACAGGTGGGCGTCGGTCGGCGGCACGTGGTACAGGCCGAGCAGGTCGGCCTCCATCAACATGGCAAACTCGCCGTAGAGCAAGTCCACCATCCCCTGCGGCTCCAGCGCCGCCACGTCCAGCGTCACGGAAGCTGCGCCTCCGCTGGGTGCCTGAAGCGACGACGCTGAGCCAGTGGGTTCACCTGTTGGCCTCAGAGGGCCCCTAGGATTCCCCACATGCTTAGCGTCAGCTATAGGGTTCAGCTCTCCCTGCTGGCATCGCTCCTCTGATGGTGGTGCCGATGACGGTTCAGAATCCTCACTGATGCGGGGAGGAGCCTCCTCCTCCGTTGAGTCCACCTTGACTGGGTCCTCCACCGTGTCGCCGTACAGGCCGAACACTGCGTCCGTCCAGCCCTCGTCGTAACCAGCCCTGAAGTGCTTGAGCGACTCCGCGTGGGTGCTGACGGGCAACTGGTAGCCTGGCCCCAGGACGCTGTCAAGCCTCCAACCAGGCGCCGATGGCTCGCCCAGCGCCTCCGCTCCTGGGAGCCTCGTACTCGCAGCACCTGAGGTAGCCCCAGTCGCGGAGCATGTGGCGCCCTCTGCCCTAGCCACCGCGCTGGAGTCGGCGACCCCAGCGGATAAGGCGTAGGGTGAGTCTGGCGGCCGAGAAGGAGTTGCCGAACTCCCAGTCCAGGCCCCAGTCGGACTCGAGGTGGTCTCCGCAGCTCCAGGCCTCTGCACGGCGACCCCCAGCCTGGCCAGCACCGCCCGCGCCAGCCCCAGAAAGGGCGCCCAGTCTGGCGGCTCGCGCCGTGGGCCCACTGGCCGCTGCGCTGGCAGCGTGCGCGCCGCTTTGTGCACCAGCCTGCGCTCGGGGAGCCCCCTCACGCTCAGCTGCAGGCGCACGGGCCAGTGGGGCGGCCAAAAGGCCGTGTCCAGCCTGCTGCAGCCCTTGACCATGCCGCCCAGGCCGCTCGACACCACGAAGTAGTCGATCTCCGAGCCCGAGCCGACGCGACAGGTCGGCACGCCCGGCGCCACCACCATGCCGTCGACCTCCTGGGGCCAGCCCCACGCCTCCAGCTCCTGGGGCTTGCAGTTCCAGTCGCCTCCGATGACGTAGGGCACCTGCACGTAGGCCAAGTACTCACCCAGCTGCCCCAGGATGAGCTTCGACTCCGCGTCGAGGCCCTTGGCCGCCACCAGGTACACCGACACCGCCAGGAAGCCGCCAGGCACTCCGCAGTTGACCCAGCGCGCGATCACGCGGTCCTTGGGCAGCTTGGGCCCCTTGGGAGCCTGGCCCATGCCGATGTGGGCACGGACGCCGACGCCCACGCCGCTGGAGAGGCCGCCCTTGTCGGTGCGCACCGACTCGTTGAAGGCCACCTTCCAGCCCTCTCGGCGGCAGGCCTGCTCGACCTCGGCCGCCGCTCCTGGGGCCACGCCCACCTCCTGCAGGAAGACCACGTCGGCCGTGGCGTCCTGCTGCAGCCATCGCATCATGCTGCCGCGCGCCGTGGTGTTGGCCGTGTCCAGCCGCCAGGCGCCAACCTCACGCCTGGTCAGCGCCAGCCGCCGCCTGGCCTCCACCGTCGCCGCGGGCGCGCTTGGCCTCGGGGAGGTCGAGGCCGACGGCCTGGCACGCCTCCTCGAACTTGCGGCGGTTCTCGCCCTCGAGCTTGTCCACCTGGTCGAAGAAGGTGTGGTCGCTCCCTTCTTCTGCAGCTGCCGCGCCTGTGGCCTGGCCCCGCTCGCCGTCTGCACGAGCATCAGCAGCAGCACCAGCAGCAGACGCGTCGCCCGCGCCCATGGGCTCATCCTCGTCCGCCTTGCACTCAGCTGACGCAAGCTCGGCACGGATGGCGTCGACCTTGCGCTGCAGAGCGCCTCGCGCGGCCTCGATGGTCCCTGCGTCGGCACCATAGCCATCGAGCGAGCCCAGCGCCTCCAGGCTGGTGACCGCCTTGGCCAGCTCGGCCGCGCGGGCCGAGCTGCAGCCAGGCGGCAGCCCCGTCTTCTCCATCTGCTTGGCCAGCTCCAGCTGCTCACGACCCTCAGTCTGGCGCTTGCGGGCCACGTCCAGCGCCACCGTCGCCTCGTCCAGCGCTGCCTTCGCGAGCCGCACTCGCTCGGTGGCCTCGACGTGCTCCGCCGCCCTCGCCGCCGCCTGCTTGTCCAGCTTCTGCATGCGCCAGATGCAGTTCTGCAGGACGTCGGAGTAGGTCTTCGGCTTGGGCGCGCGCGGCGCCTCCTTGGGCGGGGCCAGCTTGGCGCGGTCCTCCTCGGCCACGACCGCGCCCTTGGACGCCAGGTGCTCCAGGAAGGAGGCGACGTCCGCCTCGCTGAAGCCCGTGCTGGGCGGGGCCTGAGCTGGCGCCTCAGCGCTGGCCACGGCGTCGCCAGTCGGGACACGAGCGTCCCTGCCGACGGCCTTGGCCTTGCCCTTGCCCTTGCCCTTGCTTCCGCCTGCTGGCTGCGCACTCGGCTGCACGCCGCCAGCGTTGGCCAACGCCAGCTGGCGCACCGAGAGCGGTGCCGCTCGCCCACAGGTGCGGCACGCCAGCCTGCAGGCCCAGTTCCCGTCGGTGCCGCAGGCGCAGCCCCAGGCCGGCTTGCGGGGCCCCGGCAGGACGACGGCCGCCGAGGGCGGCGGGCGCTGCCAGGGCGCGGGCGTCGGCCCTGCGCCAGCGCTGCGAAACCCGCGAGCGCCGCCGCCGCCGCCGCCGCCTCCCCACGCAGCGAGGCGCGGCGCATGCTGCGGCGCCCCGCTGGGAGCCATCGCGGAAGCCCAAACGTGTACGGAATGATTCCCTCTCTCGCGGCCAGATTGGCACGCACGAGCGCGCCGCTCTGAAGTACGTTCGTGCAAGACCCCCCCTTCTCCTCAGGAAGAGCCCAGAACGGCTCTCCTCCTCGTCGTCCTCCTCCTCCTCCTCCTCCTCCTCGCATGGGGCTCCACTTTTGCTGTGTGTGTGTGTGTGTGTGTGTGTGTGTGTGTGTGTTTGTGTGGAAATGAGACACAAACCCGCACAAGGGGACCCTTGTGCCAGGTGGCCAGCAGGTGCAACCTCGCACTGCCAGTCCGTGCTCTGCAGGAGGCAGCACGTGTAACCTCGCTGCGGACCGCGTGCCTCGAGTGTTGCCAGCGGGTGCATCCCCGCGCTGTTGGTTACCCGCGCCGTGAGGACAGCAATCGCTACCTCGCGAAGGGTACCCCAAGCGCTGCAGGGGCCAGCAAGTGCAACCTCTCGCCGTGGGCCACCTGCAGTGGATAGGTGCAGCAAGCAGGGCGTCGACCTCGTCCTCCCTGCCCCCCCTGTCGCTCCTCCCTCTCTTCCCTCAGCATGTCTCTGATGCGTCAGAGGCGCCCTCGTGTGAGCGCCAGATGCTGGCGATCCTTCCAGGCCTCACCAGGGCCGAGGAGGGGCCGATCACCTGAGGCCATTGTGGTGATTGCCAGCCTGTCGTCCCGCCGGCGCCCTCCGACCTTGCCTTGTCACACCCGAGCCCTAACCCCCACCAGCCATCGATCCTCCTGAGCACAGGGGAGGCGGGCATGAGGCCCGGACTTCGCCGCGCGTCCTGCGAAGTCCGAGCCCTGCCCCCCGCCGCCCGTCGAGGTGCCCGAACCGTGGACGGGCGAGGGCAGGGCTCGGATTTCGCCGCGCACACGCCACTCGACGCCGATGGCCGCCGCCTCTGAGCGCGGTCCGCCACGGCCCCGCACTACGCCCGCGCTGGCCCTCCAGATATCCCGCCGACCCGACGGGCACGCACCGTGGATCCCGCTCCACTTCGCGCCCCAGGAGGGAAAAAACACACAGAGACAATGAATCGTCGATTCCCAGAAAATATGGGAAAATATGGGAAGTGGTGTGGAAGAGGAAAACCCCAAAAATATAGGAAAATATGGGGAATCCTTTTATTTGTATGTATTTATTTGTGTGTCCCTGGGCCCCTTCAGCTCCCCTCCCCTCTCGGCGACGAGCGAGGGGGAGAAGTGAGAAGGAGAAGGCCTTCTCAGGAGGCGGCGGGACTTCTCAGAAGCCCCGGTGCCTTCTGAGAGGCTTCTCTGTGTCTTCGGGGAAAAAGCTTAGAGAACTTCTCGGAACGCTGGGGGACTTCGAGCCGTCCGAGAAGGCCCTCTCCTTCTCATTCTCCCCCCTCCGCTCCCCTCCCGTCTCTCCGCAGTCTGCCGTCCCTGTGCCGCGCCCCCCTCCTTGGAGGTGCCCACCGGCACCCTGGTCCGCTGCAGCGACCGCGATCCCCGCGAGCCGTTCTTCAAGGTTGCGGCTGAGGGGGGCCGCTGCTGACGGCGGGGGAGGGAGGAGGGAGGAGGGAGGGAGGGAGGAGCGGCCGAGGAGGGAGGAGGGAGGGAGGGAGGGAGGGAGGGAGGGAGGGAAGGAGGGAAGGATGGAAGGGATGGAAGGTGAGGAAGGAGGGAAGGAGGAAAGGGGAAGGGAAGGAGGGGAAGGAGGGAGGAGGATGGAGGAGGAGGAGGAAGGAGGAGGAAGGAGGGAGGAGGAAGGAGGAGGAGGACGAGGAGGGAGAAGGGAGGAGGGAGGAAGGGAGGGAGGGATGGATGTAGTGAGGGAGGAGGAAGAGGATGAGGGAGGATGAGCCACGGTCCCTGATGGGATGGCAAGGTGCAGTGGCAGGAATTCGACGGATGGGTCGGCATCAAGAACGTGAGCTGGATCCAGAGCCAGATCTCTCATGGCGATCTCTCCGCACATTCTCGGCTGGAACAGGGGTCTGAGAAGGAGGAGGGTAGAGGGTAGAGGGTGAAACGGATCGATGATCTTCAGGACGTGTGTTACCCTTGCGCGCAGACCGTGTCGGCCCTCATTGCATTGCCTGTCATCAGATTGAAGGGCTTCGGTAGACAAGCACACGTTGGAGCTAACTCACGATCTCGAGATCATCGAAAGGAGCAGGAGGTTGAGGAGGAGGGTGAGGGGAGGAGGAGGGTGAGGGGAGGAGGAGGAGGAGGAGGAGGAGGATGAGGAGGAAGAGGAGGAGGAGGAGGAGGAGGAACTTCCAGGGCGTCGCAAGGAAGAGAGCGCAGGTGGTGAGGGAACGGGGTGCTCCAGGGTTGGGTTGGAGGTCCTCTAGAAGGCGGCACTGACCAGGCCCCCGCCCCCGAACGGAGAAGTGTGGATCCCAGGAATGCCCTGAAGGCCCATGGCCTTAACTTTCAGAGCCCCAGGGGCCAGACGTCTTGCTGCCAGGAGAAGTTTGTTGATCACATTTTGCCTCTTCTTCTAGTCATCACGTCATCCAGCTTGGAGACATTCGAAGCTCGCTCCTCCCCCCTCATTGCCCCCAACAGCGCGAAGGTGATGCAGCCATCCTGGGGACCCCGTCGGAGCCACCACTGCCAGCGCCAGCTCCGCCAAGCCGAAAAGCGGCAGGCACCGGAGAGAAAGGATGTGCACGTATTGCAGTGAGATGAGATGGGTAGGGATCCACAGCCAGCAGCAGCAATAACACAACTCATGCGGAATAGGAAGATAAGACTTCTGGCTTCTGCAGGAGGGGGTCGTATGGCTAGTGTGGGCAAGTTGAGACATAGCGTGAGCTCGGACTTGAGTCTGTGAGGTAGCGTCCTGGGTGGTATGAGTGGTATTTTTCGAGCATGTTGTTCAAACTCGATCCTGGCATGCCGCTGTTTTAGTGACATATCGCGTGAAGCTGTTTCACCATCTTGCTTGGTCCCTCACCTGGCCCACACTCCCGGCGCCCTGGAGCCCCCCCCTCCGGAGTCCTCCCGCGACGCTACGCATGCAGGCAGTATGTCCGAACGGCCTACTGCCAAGCTCCCCTCAACAGCGAATGTTGGGGTGAGAATTGTTCTCGTAAGGTGAGCCATCGTTCCGGCGTGCGAGAGATGTGCCGCCCGTGCCGTGCCGCACCATGCCCGCGATCTAGGCTGCGAGCAGTGTGGCACCCGCGTGCCGTGCCGTGCCGTGCCGCGACGGGCCGTGCCGTGCCGTGGCGTCCTGCCTGTGCTCCGAGGCTGCGCGGAGTGCTCCGCCCGCGTGCCCTGCCGTGCCCGCGTCCTGCGACTGCGAGCCCCGCGCCGCCCCTGCCGCGCCACGCGGCGTGCTGCTCTCGCGTGCCGTGCCGTGCCGTGCCCGCCGTGCGTGCCGTGCCAGAGTGCGAGCGACGTGCCGCTCGCGTGCCAGCGCGCCGTGCCCGCGCGCCGTGTCCGCGCGCCGCGGGGGTGCCCGCGGTGCAGACGGCGAGGCTCGCGCACCGCATCCCAGAACAGTCGGAGGTGGAGAGGCCTCCTACCCTGACACGTCGATCAGTGAATTGGCCGTTGTCCGTTCGCGAGAGGGCGTCGCGGCCGTCACCTTTGCGGGTGCAGGTCCGCCGTTTTCGGCCCCGGGCCGTTCTCGCGGAGAGGAGGTTTACCAAAGGGAGGTCTGTCCACCGCCGAAAGTAGGTTCGAGCACCCGGAGAGGTACCGAAGCAGTGTCTGCCCGACACGCCAGCGACGCGTCGGAGGAGCGTCGCCTCCCAGGGCCCGACGCGTGAAGACCCTCACAGCCTCAGTGCTTCTGGGTGCTCGAGTTTTTCTCTGCTCAATGAGGCTAAAGTACAAGTGCCGTTTTCAATACATGCTCCGCGTGCGGATCGTGTATGAGACCTGCAGGGATCTAGTATCAAAAACAACGGTGAGTTCACGCATAAAACAATGATTCATGAATTAATTATCGGCGGCGGGCGCGGGGGGGAAATGAGAAGGGGCGGGACTTCCGAGGCTTCCGAGAAGTTTCTGGACTTCTGAGAGGGCTTCTGAGAAGTTCTGCCTGTCTTCGAAATAGGCCAAGGAAACGTCCCAGAAGCCCCCCGGACTTCTAAGAAGTCCCGCGGCCTTCTGAGAAGGCCTTCTCCTTCTCATTTGCCCCCTGGGCTCGTCGCCTAAATTATGTATTAGAAATCCAATATTTTTAAGCATCCTATGCATTAAAAACCTGCCCTGTAAGGCTGGAACAGCGCAGTGCGAGACGCCTTGTTGCCTGCGGTGCCGTGCCGCGTCTCGCCTCCGCGCGCTTCGGGCACCACTCGTTGTGCAGAGGCGCGTCTCGGATCTTGTGGCGGCCGAGCTCTCGTGGGACGTCTGCAGCGGGAGGATTTTCAACAACAACAACAATCATTCTAAGACTGTTCGCCCTTATATGCTCGAGTGTCCAATAACGCGTATTTCCCAAACCCTCGATACCCGCCCTCTTCGTCTTCGATCGAACCCCTTTTGGGGGGTATACCTTTGTTCCCTGCAGGCCGGGCCCCGGCAAGCGGCGGGGCGGCCGCGGACCGTCGGCCTGGCCAGCGGCAGCGCTGATCGGCGGGGCGGCCGCGGACCGTCGACCCGACCCCAAGAGGGACGCGTCAGATTTCAGATTGGGTCTCGTTAGGGGGCCCGATGCGAACCCTACCCCTACCCCCCACGATTTCCGAGGGGGAGGGTGGGGTTCACGTCGCTCGGGAGCTCCCGAGCGAAGTGAACCCCATCCTCCCCCTCAGAAATCGTGGGGGGTAGGGGTGGGGTTCGCATCTGGCTCCCTACTCGTCATTTTAATGCTGGCCCCGCCAGGCCAAGCCGAGCCCCCCGAACCCGAGTCTTGCGTCTCCCCGAACGGATCGAGGTCGGTTCGGGGAGGGTACCATGCTGTTCTTTGTGTTCGTTGGGTGCTCTTGTGCATCCTGGGGGAGGGTACCCTCGAAAGCGTTCGTCAGTTGGGCCGGCAGAGGGTCTCATTTTCTTGAAGGATGTTCTTCTGTCCTGGGTCCGGCCGTGTGCAGGGCGGTACCTGTTCTCAACACGTGGCTCTCGCCTTAGCGCCGCGCACATTTGTTTTCAAGGTTTCCAGCAGTTGTACCGTTTGAGGCTGGCACGGTCTCGAAATGCGGCTCTCGCTTGAGACTTCTTCGGGACATATCACCACAGCTCCAAAACTGTGCAATAGTTACACGAATGGAGGGCGGTTCCGTTAATAAATGGGCATCTCGCCTGAGAGGTCGTCAGATGGTACAATCAGAAGCTACAAACACATGTCCAGCAGCTACACCGACACCGACGGAGGACGGTTCCTTTTTGAACCAGGGCCGTCGCTGGGCATTTCCTTGTGGTACCTTGTTGCATTCCTTATAGCTTGCGCAGTCCACCCGCATAGTAAGGATGGGCAACCATCCCAAGGGTACCCTTGCATCCTTGCCCCTTCGGCCCATCCTTTGCGACCTCGTTCGAAAAACTTTAACATGGCCCTCCCCGGCCCTTGCATCCTCACCGCGTATCCTTCTTATACGGGCTGACTGTAGCCCGAATGTTCGAGGGCTTTTTCTTTCAACACGAAGATCTGGCCCGCACAGCGTATTCCTGGCGCGCTCGTCGTCCAAGGGGGAGGCGCACCGCGCAGCGACAAAGAAACGCTTTTTTAGGGACCAGTGGAGGGGACTTGGGTCGGGAGGCTGTAATGTACATGGTGCGAGCCCTGCCCCACCCCACCACGATTTCTAAGGGGGGGAGGTGGGGTTCACTTCGTTCGGGACCTCCCGAGCGAAGGGAACCCCACCTCGCCCCTTGGACATCCTAATTGAGACATCTCGTGATTACTCAGGTCCTCCTCTTCCTCCTTCTCCTCCCCCTCTCTCCCCAGTTCTCGTCCCTGTCCTAGCCGTCGTCGTCGTTCTCCGAGGCTCCAGATGTCCGATGCCTTCTCTCTTCTCAATACGGGGTCCCCGCGACCATTCCCTCAGGGCCGGCTTGTCGTCCCGAGCATTCCTTGACGGTTTCTGGGCCCGATGAAGGCCCCTGGACGCCGAAAACGGCCAAACATTGACCGTTGCTCTTTTTTGCCGTCGCGAGCATGTCTGTGCCTCTTTTCTCCTCGCCCTCCTCTCCGAGACTGGGGGAGCTGCGCTCGCGCGCGCGCGCTTCGACCGCGAGGGTTCTGGGGCATGTTCTGCGGCAGCGCCGCCTCGGTGGACATCGGGAAACCCTCCAGCTTGGCATGGTGGGCGGGGGCACGACGTCGCCGATCGAGGCTCGAGAACCGAGCAGGATCACCGCATTGCATGGGAGGGTGGGGGGCTCGCCCAGAAGACTAGGAAACCCTGCCGGACGGCACTTGGCATTCTGCCACGCCCCAGCGTGCAATGGGGGCACCGCGTCGGAGAGGGCGTGTGCGAGCGCCCAGGGAGCCCTGCCAGACAGTTACTACCTGGCACTCCGGGGCACAGTTTTGGAGAGAGCGTGTGGGAGCGTCTGGGAGGGCCCGACAGCGCCCGTGGCTCGGGAGCCGGGGCCCCGTAGAGAGCGTCTTCCCAATCGGTGCTTGCACGGAAGAGTCCTGGCGAAGATTGGCGGAGCAGGTGAAGGTGTCGGGCCGACTTTGGTGGGTGGCCAGGTTCCCGGGCTCACAGTTCCAGAATCCCGGGTCCTCGTTTCCGTGTTCGGGGCCGATCTCGGTGGGCGCGCCGAGGGCATCGGGGCCCCAGCGTCGAAAGGTTTTTATGTCCTCGATTTCTTGGTTGCGGCCATATGCATGGATCTTTGCCAACACACATGATCATGGAGGGCATAACGAATTGATGCGGTAGGATACTGCCTTATCGAGTGGCAGATGTGTGAAGAGCTTGCGGTGATGTAGCAGAATCTGTTGGTGTTCTGGTGCAAATGCAGCATTCAATATTGGAGTGGGCCCCAGGGCACTCCACTCAGTGCCTACGGCACCATGTTGGATCTCTCGCGGCTCTCGCTGTCAACCTATCAGTCGATGCTAGCGGGATTGTGCGTGAGCCTGTCGCCCCTGTGCGCTGTTCGCAGTTTTATCGGGAGTATCAGTGATACGATTCTCGAGCAGGGAGCAGCATTGACGACGGTGTCGCAGAATTGCTGTCTGAGCTCTTGGGGTCTTTGGGCGCACATGCGGTACCTCGCTGCGAGTAGGCCTTACAGCAATTGTGGTGCCGTGCCGATGCGGGGAACCTGGGCTCACATGTTGTGGCATCGATGATGTATTCCAGCGACCCTACACAAGCGGATGGATTTCTTCTGTTAGAGACGGCTCTGGGAGGCACGATACGCCGTCGTCTCCTTCAAGCACTCCGTCCGCAAAAGTGAAGGCTGCACAATCGCACATGGAGGGGTGAGTCATGATCATGCGGGGCGCATCACAAGTTGCTGTTCTCCGGTGCGCCGTACTGTTTTGTTTCCTTCGGTTTGCTTGGAGAGCATGTGCTGTCAGCGGGGCCAGATGCCATTTCGGCTGCCACGGCGCAACGATGAATGTCCAATCGTGGCTGCGTGGCACGTCTCAATCGGTGTATTCCCAGCTTCTGTGCTTTACTGCACTTTGTATGTCTCGTGTGTTGTGTGTGGGGGGCGTCCGTGAGCGCCCCCCGCCGAGCTTCGCCATTCGGGCGACTTCCCGCGAACCGACGGGGCGTTCTTGAGCGATTTCCTCGAGCGTGGGGCCCGCACCAGGTGCCTACACCCCCTCTTCCTCCCTCATCGCTCCTCGCTCCTCCTCCTCCTTCTCCTCCTCCTCCTCCTCCTCCTCCTCCTCCGCTGGACGATGTTGGTCAAGGGCCTCACGAACAGCTGGTGCCCGAGCAGCACAGTCGCGAGGGGGGGGAGGCAAGCTAGGTGCGCTTACGCCGCATCCCTTCCTCCCATCACTGCGCTGATTTCTTCTGCGCCCGCGGACGCGTGCCATAGCCGACCTGGAACTCGCAAAAAGGTCTCCATCGCATTATGCGTAATCGAAAAGGGGGAGCTGCATACATAGAATGAGGATGAGCAGGAGGATGAGGAGGAGGAGGAGGAGGAGGAGGAGGAGGAGGAGGAGGAGAAGGAAGTGGCGGGTAGGCAGAAGGAAAAGAAGGAGGAGCAGGAGGACGATGTGCCAGGAGGAGGACGAATACGAACAGCAGCAGGAGCTGGAGCGGAAGGAGCGGGAGGAACAGTTGGACCAGGGGAAGGCGGATGAGGGGGAACGACGGGGGCGACGCCGATGAAGAAGGGCTCGGATCAAGAAAAGTGGCTCGCGCTGGGGCGAGAGCGCCATTTTGAACGACGAGCAAAGCGCCGATCCGAAAATAAGGCCCGCGCGGCAGCGGGAGCGCCATTTTGAATCACCGAAGGCAATCGGATTGTAAACCGCCATAAGACTAATACACTGTTGAAATCCTGTGTGTGAAAAACAGTACGCCGAGAGAACCGGCCATCTTCCGAACGGAGTAAGTGGATAGAGGCGAGTAGAGTTCATAATGTGTAACTGTGTAGTGGTGAGGGGACGAGTGGACACGATGGGGGAGGGGGCGAGGAAGGCGGAGGATGAGGATGATGAGGAGGGGGATGGGCAGGGTGACCGGGGGGGAGGAGCTGCAATGGGGTAGCTGGGCGAGGTAGGAGACGGATGAGGAGAAGTTGAAGGATGTGAATAAGGAGGAGGAGCAATACGATAATGAGAGTGGAGAACGGGTAACACACAAACGCAAACACAAGCACACACGCACGCACGCACGCGCGCGCACGCACGCACGCACGCACGCTCAAAAATACACATACCATACACATACACACACACCTACACATATACATACGCATGCACATACATTCACATATGCACATGCACACATAAACATCTACACAAACACTTCCACTTCCACTTCCACTTCCACATCCACATGCACATACACACATACATAGACATACACATACACATACACATACATAGACGCATACACATACATAGGTACATACACATACCTACATACCAACATATGCGCATACATATATACATACACACAAACATGCTCATACACACATGCACACGTAGACACACACATACACATACACAATCATGCACATACGCATACTCATACACATACACCCATACACATACACACATATACACATCCACATGCATGTACACACATACACATACACACATATACACACATATACACATGTACATACACACTTGCACATACGCATGCACATACACATACACATACACAGACGCATACATAACACATGCACATGCACTTGTAGATGCACATGCACATATACGCACAACATACACATACATATGCAGCCATACATATTGTACACATACGCGAAGCCATACACATACGCACACATGCACATACACATATACGCATACACAACAAACACAAACACAATCGTACCTACACACATTAATCCATACACACATGCACCCATACACACCTATTTACATACGTGTGTATGTACCTATTCGAGTATAAGTTTCTTACTTACTGTTCAGGCCTTGTGGCCAGTGTCGCCGACCCTGTATACGACGTCGATGGCGACAACAACGACGACGACTATTACGACGACGACGACGCGCTGCTGGCTCTGCCACAGTGTCGGGAAAGGGGGGGGAGGAGGGGGGAGGTGGGGGAGGTGGAGGAGGAGGAGGCGGATGAGGAGGCGGAGGACGAGGCGGAGGAGGAAGATTATGAGGAGAAGGAGAAGGAGGAGGATGAGTCGGATGAAGCGGAGGAGGGGGATGATGAGTGAGTGGTGGTGATGCTGATGATGCTGATGATGTTAATGATGATGATGCTGATGATGATGATGATGATGATGATGATGATGATGATGATGACGATGATGATGATGATGATGATGATGATGATGCTTATGATGATACTGATGATGATGCTGATGCTGATGCTGATGATGATAACAGGTGGTGGTGGTGATGATGAAGATGATGAGGATGATGAGGATGATGACGATGATGATGTCGAGGAGTAGGAGGAGGAAGCGGAGGAGGAGAAGCAGGACGAGGAGGATGAGGATGAGGATGAGGTTGTGGAGGAGAGGGAGGAGTTAAATAAGGATGAGGAGAGGCAGGAGGAGGAGGGGGAGATGGGGGAGAACGAACGGGGGAGGGAAAGCGTGGTTGCGACACCGTGCCAGGCGACCCCGTCGGCCATATCCCTCGTTTATACCCTGTGGCCCATCTCCGCCATATGTACCGCGACCGCCTGGGCCCACCATTTGCATGGGTGCGCAACGTGGGCGCGGCCTACGCCCATGGCGCGACACGATATCACCTCCTCCTCCTCCTCCTCCTCCTTCTCCTTCTCCTCCTCCTCCTCCTCCCTTCCTCTTCCTCCTCGTCCTCCTCCTCCTCCGCCCCCCCCCCCTCCTCCTGCTCCTCCTCCTCCTCCTCCGCCTCCTCCTCCTCCTCCTGCTTCTTCTATTCTCTGTGAGCAAGCTCCTGCTGTCTCCGCAGCTTCTCAGCCCAAGTGCCCCCCCGTCGGCCGCGCGTGCGGACGCCTTATGCAGGCGCTCGCACAAGCGGCTCTCGGAGGCGCTGGGGAGATCTTCTTCAGGGGGCTGCGGGCCGCGCTCTACGAGCGGCTCGTGTCTGCCCCTTTCTCTGATCTTCAGGACCCAGGGCCTCCTGCGCCGGCCTGGTCCATCCAGCAGGCGGACTCGTCCGAGGGTGAGGGGGCTTTCTGCCCCCTCCCTTCGGCGGGTTCCGCCTGCCCCACCGTCTGCCTCGGGCTGGCGGTGGATCTGAGCGGCGGGGTTTCGCCCTGGCTGCTCAGCACGGTCGTCGCCCTCCTTGGGGTGACGGCCGCGTGCAGCGCCTGCGCAGGCTGCTGCATCGGGCTGCTGGGCCCGTACGCGTGGCGGAGGCTCAGGGCCTCCGCCTGGCCGCGCGGAGCGGTTCCTGCCCCCTTTGAGCAGGACCGCCGTGCGGCGCGAGCGCTGGCTTACGGGGTTCCGCCGCGGCCCTGAGCGCTCGTGCGGGCAGACGCCCAGCATTCAGGGAGCAACTCCCTCGGCTGCGCCCATTGATGGCCGAGCTGCCACCAGTTGGCGGAGGGCCTCTATGGCCCGAGCTCTACTTATTCGCAGCTCCCACGGCTCGCGGCTACGCACGTTGGCGTTTAGACGACGGCGACACCAGCTGGGCAGCTATCCCCCTCGCGTCTCGAGAAGGGGGCATCCTCCTGGCCCTGCCTGGCGCCTTTCGCTCTACGGCGGAGCTCGAGGCTGCCGAGGCGGGGGGTTTTGCGGGGATGATAGGCCCCTTCCAGCTAGTGGACGCCCAGCTCCAGGGGGCCGCTTCGCGGCCGCTCGCCACTACTGCCTCCGTCCTCGTCGTGGATATCGAGGTTGCAGAGCTCGAGCTCGAGTCGCTTTACCCTCTAGAGGTCGGCGAGGACGCGGCCATCGTCCCCTTCGCCGAGGTGCGGGGCCGCGTCTATTGGCCACACCCTTCAGGGGTTCGGGTGCTTCGCGAGGGTTACGCACGCTTGCACGGCGCCCCGCCTACCGCAGGGGAGGAGCCGCTCCCAGGGGCCGATCGGGCTACTCCCTATCACTCTGCCGACGAGATGGAAGAGCCCGAAGGGTTCGCGGCCGACGAGGACGCCGAACGCCCGGCCCCAAGTGCGCGATCTCCCGCGGACGCTGGAGCGCCTCGCGGCCCGCCCCCGAAGCGCACGGGCGCAGCCGCGCCGCCACGGGTCGCGGGCCCCGCTTCGATCGCTCCTGGTGCCCCTGCGGCGGCTCTGGACGACGGGGCTCCTATGACCCGTGCCGAAGTAGCTGCCGAAATGCGCGCTTTGCTTGCAGCCCACGCAGCCTCCACGATGGTCGGCCGACCCGAATCGCTGGGCCCCGAGCCGCCTGCTCGGAGCGATCGGCCCGAGGTGCCTCAGCTCTTCAGCGACGAAGCGGTGCGCCTCGGGCTGGACCCTGCGGGGATCGAGGCCGTCCTGTCCCACGCGCCCGTGGCCCCGCAGCGGGTCTCCGCGCGTCCCAAGGGTCCGACCTCCGCGCTGGTCTCGGCGTGGGAAAAGGCGCGCTCTCTGGCTGTCCCTCGGGCCCCTTCGTCGGGCTTCGGAACGATGGGCCCTCCGCCGCCACCTGGGTTAGCCCATCCCGCTGCGGTCGACGGCTTTGCCGAGGCGGGCGGCGCCGACGGGTTAGAGCCGCCCCATACGGCCAATCCGACGGACTTCAGCCTCATGCTACAGTGCCTGCACCAGTCCCTCCTTCTGCAGCAGGGGCGGGGCCATCGTCCAACCGTCCATCCGCTGCTGGGGACCCTGAGCGACTCAGCTCAATCTCCGCCCGCGAGCTCGGG